CACCTTGATTTGGGGCTTCCAAACCCTGATGGTGTCCCTCCATGAATGCTACTGAATCCTGGGTCTGGGTCCTACATATATTGGAGTGGGTGGATCTGGGCTGCTGGGCTTGACCTCCCCTGGTAGTCTACTGGTTGGAAGGGGTGGTCCTGCACCAGAGGCTAGGCTCTGGCAGTGTTTGTGCCACCAAGGGAGGGGTGAACCAGGCCTACTGAGAGCCTGGATCCTGCGTGGGCTGGTGTGAGTGGATGTGAGCTGCTGGGCTTGACCTCCAGCAATAGTCTACTGGTCAGAAGGGGTGGTCCTGTGACAAAGGCTAGGCTCTGGCAGTGTCTGCCCCACTGAGAAAGGGGTAGACCAGGGTAAATGAAGGATCAGTGATACAAACCAAAGAAATGCACAATCTTTCAATGATATAATAGCAGAAAAGTTCCCAATTCTAAAGAATGGAATAAAAAATCAAATACAAGAAGCTTACAGGATCCAAAATGTACAAAATTATAGCTGACCCATACCTAGACATAATAATGAGAATGACTAATACAGAGAATGAAGATAAAATATTAAAGGCTGTGAGAGAGAAAAAAATCAAATTACATATAGGGGGAAACCAATTTAGATCTCAACTGACTTCTCAGCCCAGACCCTCAAAGCCAGGAGGTCTTGGAATAATATAATTCAAGCTCTGAAAGAAAACAGATGCCAACCAAGAATTTTATATCCAGCAAAATTAAGTTTCAGATTTGAAGATGATATTTAAACATTCCATGATAGACAAAAACTAAAAGAATTCACAACTAGAAAGCCAGCACTACAGAACATTCTCAACAAATATTCCATGAGGATGAAGTGAAAAAAAAAAAGTGAAAACCAGCAAAGAGGATCTACACTAAAGTGACATTCAACCAAATGAGAAACTAGGACAAATCAAAAACCAGAAATAAATCAAAATGACAGGGAATTCAAATCATATCTCAATAATAGCCTTGAATATTAATGGCCTAAACTCATCAATCAAAAGACGTAGACTGGCAGATTGGATTAAAAAGCAAGACCCAACAATATGCTGTCTTTAAGAGACTCACCTCACAGGCAAAGACATCCACAGGCTGAAGGTGAAAGGATGGGAACATCTTATCACTCATACGGATTGCACAAACAAGCAGGAGTTTCCATTCTCATTTCAGATAAAGAAGACTTCAAACCAAAGTTAATCAGAAGGGACAAAGAAGGACATTTCATGATTCTCAAGGGAAGTATATATATAAGAAGGACACAACAATTATAAATATGTATGCCCCAAACAATGGAGCATCTATGTACATCAAACAAACCCTTCTCAATTTCAAGAGTCAAATAGACCACAATGCAATGATTCTGGGTGAACGTTAACACACCTCTCTCACTACTGAACAGATCTTCCAAACAAAAACTAAATAGGAAACTGTAGAACTAAATAATACAATCAATAATTTAGACTTAACAGACATATATAGAATATTTCATCCATCAATGAGCAAATATACTTTCTTCTCAGCAGCACATGGCTCCTTCTCTAAAATAGACCATTCCTTATGCCACAAAGCAACTCTTAGTAAATACAAAAAAGCAGAGATAATACCCTGCATTCTATCAGATCACAATGGAATGAAATCAGAAATCAATGATAAAATAAAAAGTAGAAGCTACTGTAACAAATGGAGACTAAGTAATATACAATTAAATGATGAATGGATGATAGAAATCAAGGATGAAATAAAAAAGAAATCTTAGAGTTAAATGAGAATACTGATACAACATATCAAAATCTCTGGGACACTATGAAGGCAGTACTAAGAGGAAAGTTTATTACATTGAGTGCATTCATTAAAAGAATAAAAAGTCAACAAATAAATCACCTAACACTACATCTCAAAGCCCTAGAAAAAGAAGAACAAATCAACACCAAAAGCAATAGAAGACAGAAAATAATTAAAATTAGAGCTGAGATCAATGAAATTAAAACAAGAAACAATTGAAAAATCTGACAAAACAAAAAGTTGGGTTTTTTTTGAAAAAATAAATAAATAGATCAAACCTCTGGCCATGCTAATGAAAAGAAAAACAAAGAAAACTCAAATTACTAAAATTCAAGATGAGGAAGGAAATATCACAACAAATATGTCTAAATACAGAAGATAATTAGAAACTATTTTGAAAATTTATACTCTAAAGAAATAGAAATATCAAAGACATCAACAAATTTCTACCCAAACTAAATGAGGATGTCATACATGCTTTAAACAGATCAATGTCAAATAATGAAATAAAAAAAATGCCATCAAAAGCCTACCAACCAAGAAAAACCTAGAACCAGATGGATTCTCAGCTGAGTTCTATAAGACTGTCAAAGAAGAATTAACACCAATACTCCTCAAAGTATGCCAAGAAATAGAAAAGAAGGAAACCCTTCCAAACTCATTCTATGATACTAGTCACCCTGACACCAAAATCAGACAAAGACCCACCAGGGAAAGAAAACTTCAAACCAATATTCCTAATGAACATAGATGCAAAAATTCTCAGTAAAATTCTGGCAAATCACATACAAAAACATATTAAAAAGGTAGTGCACTATGATCAAGTAGGATTCATTCCAGGGATGCAGGGTTGGTTCAACATACATAAATCAATAAACGTAATTCATCATATTAATAGACTTAAAAACAAGAATCATAAGATCATCTCAATAGATGCAGAAAAAGCAACTGACATAATACAGCACACCTTCCTGTTCAAAACACTAGAAAAACTAGGGATATTAGGAGCATACCTCAACATTGATTCTCTCCTCTTAAATACCCACCCCTTCATAATGACTTAATTTGGGACAATTGCAGTCCCCAAGTCAGATCAGCAAAGCCTGCCAAGCTCTTTGTTCCATTCTGCCCTCTACATCCAAGGGTCACCAGTCTCTGCGCATCTATTCATCTCAGCCTCTCTTCCTTTCAGTCTTGTATTCCTAACCTGCTGTGTTGGTCAGGGTTCTCCAGACAAAAAGAACCAAGAACATATGGCTATCACACATAAAAGGAGACCTATCTAAAGGAACTGGCCATGAGGTTGTGAAGACTGATCAGTCCAAAGTTCATAGGGTTGCCAGCAGGCCAGGAAACAAGGGAAAGACAGGGTGGCAGTTCCAGTCTGATGAAAGCTGGAGAATCTCCTCTTGCTCAAGAGGAGGCCAGCCTTCACTCTATGACTGGATGAGGCCCCTCCACATTGGGGAGGGCAATCTGCTTCACTCGAAGAAGCACTCAGAATGAGTCTGACCACAGCTGTTAGCACCATCACTCAGGTAAGTTGATCCACAAATTAATCATTGCACCACTCACAGTGCTGCCGCTTCCGGTGCCCACATAAACACCACAACACTCTCCCCCAGGCTTCTTCAGTTCCTTCTGAATCATCAACAGTGCCACTCATCACCCAGCCTCCCTTCTGCTGCCGCCTGCTGGTTGACTGCAGGCCCTTCTGCAGTGGGTGCCCTCCTGCTGCACACACGTACTGTGAGCTCCCAGGGACAAATTCCCAGAGTTGAGTTATGGGATCATTCAGTCCATTTGCACTTTGTTTTGCCCTCACATCTTTCAAGGTGAATACCAGGAAGGAAATGTTCTCAAAGTTGATACTTCCAGTCAAGAAATTTCTCTGTCAGTATCTTACTACTTCAGTTCCATTATTCCAGTAAGTTATCTGCTTAAGAGGTGGGAGATCATAGACATAAATAAAATTAATCAAATAAAAATGTCTTAAATGTAACTATCTATAGAAGTGAAACTATTTTTAATGTGTCCAGTGCTCATATGCAAATTCATTAACTTTGATTCAAAAGTAGCAAACAGTTATCATAATATCCTCATCAAAACAAGAAAATTTAACTTTTATTGAAAATCCACTCTTTACCAGATGAAGTGCCGAGCCCTTTAATAAGAATTCTCTGTAACTGACAAGACCTGGCTGTGGATTACAGATCAGCAACCAGCGGTCTACAGTTCCCACATCAGGAGGCAGAGGCCTTAACCTCACATTTACTTGGCACTCACTACAGGGCACACTATAAAAACAGGGTTTCTGCAGATGACAAATAAAGTCCCCTATAAGTACCACCTGTTCAAAGGAATATGACTGGTAAATTTGGGCCCAGGTTCAAATTCCAGAGTCCCTGGCTTAGGATTCTCTCAGAACTGCTGCTGCTGCCCAAGAGGCAGTGACAGGAGTCAGGTTCAGCCAAACAATTGAGAAGGTTTGTCCTCTGGGACCCCAGGTCTGGTGAGTAGAGACCAGGCACACCTACCTTCCAGCCCTCAACCTTGGAGCACATTCTGATTTGTTTCATATTCCCTCTCTCCCCTGTCTCTATCTGTAAGTGCCACGTTTGCCAGCAGGGTTATCTGGGAAGTGTGGTTCTGGGCTTCTCCCTTCCCCCAGGACCAATGGACACCCCCTGTTGCTCTCTCCCAGGGGCCAGACCACTTCTGGTGCCCTCTGGTGCTAAAAACAGGTTTCAGTAAGGCAGCAGAACAGGCACTACAGCCAAGTGCTGGGAGCATCCCAGAGCCACACCCCTGTAGGAGATAACACATGTATTTCACTTGTTTGTCAGATATTTTTAGTCCTTTGTCCATTGTCTGAAAAGAATGGAATTTTGGAAACATTTTCTTACACTTTCAGCACTTCTAGGCGCACTGCCCGCAGTTTCACCATCCTCTGGTCCTTCCCAAAGGTCCTGGGTTCCTCCAAACAGACTGACCCTGAGCGCCAAAGTTTCTTTCGTTTTCTATCCTCTTCTTTTGTGATACTATGGGCTCTGGTAGAAACTAAGGAAAACAGTCAAGAGTCCAAGCACGCTGAGATCACTTTAAGAAATCAAAGGACACAAGGCACCTGCCTTAGGGAGCCCGTCCCCTTGGCCCTCCCCTCTCAATAAACGCCCTGTCCGCCAGTGCCCTCAGGGATTCCGGGACTGGAAGGAAATGGCTGACACCTGGAGCTGAAAGGGCGTGGTTCCTCCCATCTCTGCCCCAGGGGACGGCTTGGCCCTCCCCATAGCCTGCTAAGGTAGAAGAGAGACGGCTTGGGTCAGAGGAGAGAAGTCTAGGGAAGAACAAGGGAGGGGACACTGAGAGGAGGGGCGGAGGCTGAGGGCCCACCTGGCTGGGATACCCGGCTAGAGGTGAGGAGGCAGGGATACCGGCCCAGAGGTGAGGAGGTGGGGACCGACAAGGGCGGGGACACTGTAGGATGGGGGGCGGGGACACCTGGCGGAGGCGACTAGGACCTGGGACTGGGTGGCGGGTGGTGGCGGGCAGGTGGGAGGAGCCAGCGGGCGGGGACTGGGGTGATTCACCTGCCCAAACGAACTCAGACTCGCCCCAATTCCGGACCTGAGCGGCCCGACCCTGCGGCGCCACTCCCCACCCCGAGCGGACTTCGGAACAGGCCTGGGACCCACGGGCGCCGAAACCCGGGAGGACGCGAGCCCGGCGGGTCTGTGCCCGGCGAGGATGCGCGCTCTGCCTGCCCAGAACGCGTCTGCCGGCGAGCAGCCGCCTCCCCCGGACTCCGAGGCCTTGCGGGACGCGCACGCAGTGCGGCCGGCGCGCAGGAGCGCGGTGGAGAGGCTCGCTGCGGACCGCGCCAAGTACGTTCGAGGCCTGCCGGGGGCCCATCTGGACCCCGCTTCTGAGGGCCGCAGCCCTGGGACGCCCGTGGGGCAGCGCTGTGACCCGGCTGCTGCGGCCCGCGTCCCCGCGCCGGTGGCGCGCAGGGCTATCGCGCGGAAGTCTCTGAGGCCTGACTCACTAGTCATCTACCGGCAGAAATGCGAGTTCGTCCGAGGGCCGGGTACCGACGGCCCCAGGGGAGGCCTGGTGAAGAAACTTTTCCAGGGACCGAGCAAAGACAAGGCGCCGGAGTCCTTCCAAACGCCCGGGGCGGGGGAGGAGAGCCATGCCCGCGGCAGGGAGGCCGCACCCGCAAAGCCTTTCCTGGTGGCTGCGACTGCGGCCCCAGTCGGTGCCGCGGGCCCAGAGCCCGGGGACCCCGCCCTGCCTTCAGCAGCGACCCCGGGGGGCCAGGCTTCGTGCGCTGGTAAGGAGCTGCTGGTGGCCAGACGTCGGGGGCTTCAGCGCTCGCAGTCAGACCTCGGCTCCCGCTACTCCCTGGCCAAGGCCGAGTTTGACACCTTCTTCCTGTACTGCGGCCTGGATCCCGAGGTGGTAGAGGCTCTTGGGAAGGACAACTTCTCCGCAGGGTCCGATTGTGTCGCCCTCAAGGTGCGTAGCGTAAGTGTGGCCACTTTCGACAGTGGCTTCTCTCGGCACAGCGACGAGGTCAACGATGGGCTGCAGGAGGAGGAGCTCGTAGAGCAGGTGCCCAGCACTACCTCCGTGGTCGAGAGAAATGCCCGCATCATTAAGTGGCTGTACACCTGCAAGAAGGCCAAGGAGACCCCCAGCCAGGGGCCTGCTTGAAGGCCTGCGTCCAAGGACACCAGGACCTCAGGTGCGTGCCCAAAAAGCTTGGGGGACAGTGGCAGGAGTCTGTGTTCAGGTTGCTGAGTAGGACTAAACTGAATGCCGTCCAATTATAACTTTCACTTAAAATAAAGCCCCTATGTTGGTAAGGGCCTAAGAAATGGAGAGGCTCCTGGTGGAATCACTGCAGCCAGACCAAAGGGCCCAGATGCAGGTGCTGGCAGACCAGGGCTGAATTTGATCGCCTGGAAAGGTCACACTGAGTTAGAAGAGAGGAAATCAGAAATATAAAAGATCTTGGGAGCACTTTTACTCCCCTGAATCATCATCCCCTGCTTTGAAAGTAGCCTCAGAGCCCTAGTATGTATGTGCACTGGGACAAACTTGCTGTGGAGCTACTTTAAGTCCTGTGCACCTGCAGCCCAGGTAGGTGCTGCTGTCTCACCTTCCATACCCCTTCCTGAAGGCCTTTACTTTGGTAAGAACTCTCCAAGGGATCTTTGCAGCAGTTTGGCATTGGTTTAGCAAGAAAGATCCTTACTTGGTAAAATTTTATTTAAATTTTTTTGAGGGCTTCTGTTTTTTGAACTGGAGGAATTGGACTAGATTGCATCAGAGTTTAAACTGCTATGATTCTAGTAAGTAGTATTCAACATTCCAAACTGTCTTGATTCTGTAGTTTATTTGCCTCTGATGATAAAACAGAATAAATTTATTTCCTTTGAATACCAGTAGTATAGGTCTAACTTTCAGTTCTTCAGCCTGAGGGGCTGATGTGTGTTGATTCTCCATTGTCCTCTCAGTCCCTGTGCCATTTGGGGAATAGCAAAGAGAAGGCCATTTTCAGAGTTTTCTTTGAGAACTAAGGATTTAGACACAGTAACATCTTTTTTTTTCCTGTCACCCTTCAATAACAAACAGCTTGCTATAAATTCTTTTTAAAAAATCATTATTTTGTCCGCCACTGTGATACTAATTGAAAGCACAACATTGGCCTGTGGAATTGTGGAGGGCTGCTGCAGAAATGCTTGCACTCAGTTCTCCTGTATTGAAGACGGGGAAAAACCCAAGAACTTCTCCAAGTGGCCTTAGTACAGAGGTGAATCACTGTTTTGTTGAACATGGAGGACATTTTACTCTAAACTCAATCCCCAAAGAATGTAAATAGGCAAGCAAACTTAAAGAAGTAACTTGTACTTTCCATTGAGTTGTTTGGATCTGAAGTGAATGGATGCTGACAGGGACATGCCATGGTGATGCTGTGAGCATCCAGAGCAGGTGCTGTCCTGGGGCATGTGACCTGGCAATGAGTGTCCTCAGGGCTTGCCTCTGTGGCCATGTGCCTCCTGTGTTTTTAGTCCAGGCCTTCTTGGTCTGTGAAACAAAGGGAGCAGGCAGATGGTGTCCAGTCTTAGCATTTCATTTCTGCAAATCAATAATTTGTGTATCTATGTTTTGAGATCAAACCCTGAAAAAGGAAAGCAAGCAAGTACTGCTTAATGGACAGTTGCGGAAGCAATTGTGAAGGAATTCTCCAGGCGGCTGCAGGTGGAAGGGGGCTATTTGTGCTGAGGTGACAGGAGGACAATATGAAAACAGAAGCCCCTTGATCCCTCCAGACCCACATCCATCACTGAAGAGAACTTGGATTTAATATGCAAAATAACCTTCCCAAGCCTTTTTAGGCTTGAATATATGAAAAATATAAGAAGTTTAGTTGAGCTGTGAGAACGTGCCCCTGTGCTAAGGGCAGATCATTGAAGCAACTGGAAGAGTGGGGCTGGTGTGGGAAAGCACCCAGGGAGGGTGGATGTAGGACAGAGGTTCACCGCTTCCATTACCCACCCTGTTTCTTTCTCCAGCTTCGTCCTGTTTATTGGAAGGAGGAACAAGTCACTTGCTTTCTGAGCTGTTGTTGCGCAAGCAGGGCTGAGGTGTGTTGATTGCCTGTAGCATTTGGGAAATAGTGAAGAGAAGTTATCCTGGCTTCTGCCTAGCACTGGCCATCACCAGCTCAACACTGAACTCACAGATTTGCTCCCCCAGAAGCATAGGCAGGCTGTGCTCCTGGAAAGTACAGTGCTGCCCGGAGGGCTGTGGGCAGAGTGAGCCTCCTCCAGCTCACCGGGCGGCTGACTGCTCAGCACCACAGCCCTCTTCATGCTGCCACCAGGCTTGTTTCCTCTGAGAAGCAGTGTCCAGGGGGCCAAGGTGCCTGAGGCCCACAGCTGGGCTGTGCACAGGGGCTTTGGGGTGGCCCCTGCTTTCTCCACACAAGTGACTCCTCTGGAAGAGTTCCCTGAGCTCTACAAGATGTGTAGCCAGGAGCTGGGCTCTGCCTTTCCTGTAGTTTGCCAGAACACTTGTGCTGCAATTCTCAAAAGACTCATGTTGGGATTTCATGAACAATTTAGAATAATTGAGATGAAAGGTAGGCTTTATAAGTAAATAATTTAAATGTATCTTACACAGAGGTTTCCCCCTTGGCAAACAGAGCTTTATAAATTTTAATAAATATATTCCATCCAGAACAAAAAATTTATACATTCTTGTCACATGGGTAAAAATGTTTGCATGTGAGATTTAAAAATATCAGAACTGAAACATGGCTCATAGAGTCTACAATCTGACCACTGAGGACTATCGAGTAATGGACCATTATACCTGGACACAGGGGCAGTCCTGGTACTCTCAGAGTCTCTGTGTCTCTGAGTACAGTTAATAAGAATTACTCTTTGATTCCCTGGCTCTTAGTTACCTTCTGTTCTTAAACTCATCAAATTGAATACTTCCAAAATTTAGATCTTTCTGATTCTCATCTTTTACATAAAAAAAATATAACTTACTGGTTATGTTAGAAACTTATAGAATAGGAACTTGCCCTTTGGGATAATTACAGATAAACATTGCTTAATATCAAGACAAAAACTTTCAGACCTTACAGACCCCTCCACATTTCTCTTTGGTAAAGAAGGATAACCCATAGAAGCCCACTGAGAACCTGTGGGAAGAATTAGATCTTTCATTGGAAAGATACAGTGGCACCCAACACATGGACAGGGGCACCCTGTCTCTGCTTCTTCCTTTGCTCCAATCTAGGAAGCCCTACAGGAGCACAGTGTGGGTGAAAGTGGCTGAGGGCTATAAGGCCATCTTTCTTGTCTCCTGGACAGCACCTTAGAGATGCTGCTCCTTGAAAAGCATGGAGCTGTTTGCCTTCCAACATGAGAGGGGCCTCCTGCCTTGATCTCTGTTTTGTCCCCCAGGCCTGAGCTTAGGTTAATGTCAGCATGGCCTTGTCAGCGTTTAGACCAGTTGTCTTCACTGTACTAGGAGTAGTAGGAGGCACAGAGGACTTTTAGATGTCCAGAAAAAGGCCTGCAGGAACATGGAGATTTGTTATGACAGAGAACCCAGGTGACAGAAGTCTTATCAACGTATTTCCAACTTTAAAACACAAAAAGGAGATGCTTTGAAATGAAGAGATATCACAAACCCAAGACGACAGGGCCAGGCTTTGCAGCGAACATTCTTCAGCAGACAGGAGCTAATCATGTTTGTTCTTTTTTTACTACTCAGGAAACAGACCTTCCTGGTGACAAAAGGACCCCTTGATGTTCTGGATGACTTGAAACCCCAGGCCATTTGTGCAGTGTGCCTCAAGGACACATGACTACTGCTTTTCTGGGAATGGAATATCCTGCTGACAAAGCTTGCTGACTGCAGAAGGGTTGGCATGCTGAGGAGGAGGTAGAAAGGTGATGGGAGATTTGCCCAGGGTATCGTTTTTACTGACTTGGTGACAAAGAGATACTACAATGCATTTTTACAATATTTAATTTCTTTTTAAACAAAAAGGAGAAAAGCATGAAATTCAAGCATGAGTGGCATGTTACTTATTCCTTTTGACTGGTTGGTCCAGGTAAAGTTCTGTAACCACCAAGAAGCTTTCTGGTTCAATGCTGTGGCTGACAGCAGACACACTTGGTCTTCAAAGCTTCACTCTGAACTACAAAGCACCACTCACTACCAACTGAATTTTCCCAAACAGCATGACTGATCGTCTTCTTCCATGAGTGAGGAAGCACATTTAGAATCCCTCCAGGACAATAGGGTCAATACCACTCCCTACTGCTAGGTAGTAGCCATGTGGAAAGATGCAGAAGAAGATATACAGAAGCAAAGGTCTTGCTTAGTAAAGAACTTTATTGTCCCTGGACAGTTTCCTGAGAGTTGGTGAAGATTCTTTTGGTCCTCTTGTCGGGTCTGAAGTGGCATTCCCAAGCAGAATGCAGGCAGTGCCCCCATTCTCATCTGCAGGGGAGAGACATCTGGCCCACATGCACATGACCCCATGAAACAGGAGCTCTTCGTGGCCCAGGCCCTGGTCTAGTGCACACTCCACACACCATGGACTCACCTGGATTTGGCATCGTTCCCTCTGCAGAAAGCATGTTTTACAGGCAGGGATGGGATCTGATATTGGGAGACTCCGGGATCTGCATGTACATGGGAGCTGCTGGGGCCCTGACTTAACATGCTCAGGGAAAAGGGGTCACAGATTCGGAACCTTTCAAGGGAATCTTCTGTCCCTGAGAACCAAAAGAGAATTTGTCACCTAGTCAACTCTTTGAAAGCTTACCACATTTTATCAAAATATATCTCTTCAAAAACAAAATTATTCAAGGGAAGATTGTGGGAAGAAATGGATATCTCAATTATAACATTTCATAATAATAACATTTTAATATATTCATGTATTTGCTTAAAAATTGTGACTGTTTTATCGTGAGAGCAGATCTCTGAGTTTCGGTTGCTAGTCTCTGGGCAGTTTCACTTTACTTTGTGTGGCCGTCAGTATATCATTTCTGTTGTAGATTAGTTTCTTCTTGTCTTGTGACTGCAGTGGAGTGCTGGCCACTCTGCAGGGTGCTCAGTCCTGTGGTTTGTTTCCACATGGTTCCAGGGAAGAGTTGAGAAGCAGCGCCTGTTTGAGAACGTGTGCCCTGGTAATTGCTCTGCAGTGCTGCTGTTTTGCTGTTCACTGTATTTCATTTAGTGTAAAGGACATCAAAGGTGAGATCTTTCATATACCCACATCTCTCATTTCAGATGTCCCACTAATTTTATATGTGAATGCTTTAACTGAACCCTGCATGCCTTTCTGCTGTCAGAACAGAGTGACTGACAGCCGAGGTCACACTCGCCTTTCATAAAATGGATGAAAAATATGAAACCAATTGGTTTCCACTTGAAGCCCCCAACATCTTCCAGAATCATCTTTGCTTTCAGTGGTGGTATGGGAAAGAGAGGAGTTCACTTGAAGTGAATCCTGGAAGCAGATACCAGAGGGGAGGCCTGGGGAGTGGATAGCAAGTGGTGTTAGTGCAGAGGAAGCAACCTGGCTGCCTTACCCCTCCAGATGCATTCCTCAGCTGCATGTGCGGGTGTGTGGCTGCAGGGAGACACTCTGTCCTAGCCCTGAATTGCCCCAATTGCTGAGCACCTGAGAGTCCAGCTGCTGCTCCATCTACTTACATTCCACAAGGCTGAGCCACAGGGACTGCTGCAAGAGTCTTTCAATTGTCCATGAAAGAGTGTGCACACATATAATGGGATAAAAAGTCAGAAGGGAGACAATGATGGTAGAGCAAAGAAGGTAACTCAACCTCTTCCTCTGTGGTTGCAGACTAGCACTGCCCCAGGTGTGCACGCACTGTTCAGCTCCCTCATTCTACATGCATGCAAGCATTTACAGCAGGCCATTGGACTCTGCCACGCCCAGTGGTTCAAGGTTCATACTTGCTGCCCATGGTGCCCTAAAACACCATGCCACAGAGTTGCTGGAGATATTTCTAGTAGGTCTTTCCTGCACACACTTGCAGCCAGAGAGCAATATTTTATACTCTGTATTAAAGAAATAAAGTATGTTTTGCATCTCCATCTGTGAGCAAGGTCAAACTTTCCTGAAGGGAGAATGTGCTCATTGTAATCCAGAATCCCTCCAGTCTGCGTTTCTGCCTTTCTTCTGGAATGTTGCCTCCTGGGCTACCAGCAGCAGTAGAGGAAGCACCCCAGGCTTGGTCTAGGTGGCCCTTGGGCCACCCGAGATGAGCTGCAGTGAAAGCCACATGGATATTTAGCACTTTGTCTTGCACTGTTTTATCAGTCTTTTGCTTTAAAAAGATTTTATGTTTTACTAATATTACCACTGGAAATCTGGCATAAAAATGAAGGCAATTTTTACCTTTCTCTTGAGCTCTCTCAGGGAGGGCAAGCCCTGCTGTCTTGGGCTTTGTGTGGATTGGCTGGTAGGCAGGTAAGGGAGCCTGTCTGCTCCTGCTGCACTGCCCAAGCCAGATGGGTTTCTTTCCAGCCTTGCAACAGCTATGTCTAATCTATGCCAGCACTCACAGATGGGCCTTCTTAAAGAGAGTAAGTGCCTCAACTCCATGTTTTCTTGAAGAACTCCACCACCCCCATGGCCACCTAATAGCAGTGGTCATACTTTTCAGTTACCTCTTGAAATTTCAAGAAGCAATAGAGTTACACACAGTGGCTAGCTGTTTGAACATTTTGTGTTCACTGATGAATTAGATACATTTACACAATCTTTACGTGTTCCAGATTGAATATCAAACAAGTAGGAAATTGAATGTCTCAGCCTGCAGCTTGTAGGCTTGGCCTTGGGAGTAGCAGGGAGCAGCTGCCGGGGACAAGTCACAGAAGCACCAGCAAGTGTGCCGCCTCCCTCATCACCTCTGTATCTGTGCCTCAGACTCTGAGTAACTGATATCATTAGGTTATCTCCTTCAAAATAGTCACTAACATTGGAATGCTGTCTTAAGAGGAAGCTACATTAAGCCATTAATAATGATTCACCTTTGAGTGAAAATAGAATATTAATTTCTTTAGAAATTGAGAATCAACTAGAGGCTCAGACACAGAGAAAACTGGGTTCTGGCTTCAGTAGACCCTATGAGGTGCTCAATTTGAGCTTAAGTAGGACTTTTAATTACATAAGTTCCAGAACAGGAAATTATAAAATTAATTAAACCCAAATCCTTGCTGTTTACCTTGTGGTATCAAAACAATGGTACACCTGAGCAATAGTGACTTTAATCAGGGATGTCACTGAGGGCAATGGAGAATTCACTACATGCATGTGTCAAGGAGCCAACACTGCACTAGGTATGAGGGTTTCACACAGCTCCCTGCCATCATGGGACTTCAGTTCCAGGGGGACCAGGTATCCAATAAGGAAAGAGATGATGATGGATGGATGGATAAATGAATAATGTTAGATGATGATGGATGGATTGATGATAGATAATGATGTATGGATGATGTTAGATGATGGATGGATGATAGGTTATAAAGGAAGAAAAGATAGACTGATGATGGGTGGATGATAATGGATAGATGATGGATGGATGATAAATGATTGATGATGGGTGGGTGATAGATGGATGATAGATGATGGATGGATGGATAATAGATGATTGATTGATGATGGGTGGATGATAAATGATAATGGATATTGATAGATGATAATAGATGGGTGGGTGTTGATGATGGAAAGAAGACAAATAAAGGGAGGCTGGCAGAGAAGGAAGGGAATAAAGCAGAGTTAGTGAAGCAGCAAGTTGTGCTATGAACCTGATTATGAGTTTATTTTGCCCTTCTACTTCATGGTTTCTATTTGGTGGCCAATCTACCTGAATCATAAATAGGACTTAAAGTCTACATCATATAAAATAAACCAAGCAACAGCGAAAGAGAACAGGCAGATGTTTAAATGGCTTTGTTTTTTTCTCTGAGAGGTTTATATCAATCTTGAGCTTTGAAGTTTGAACAGAAGAGAAAGCAGAACACACTGGCCTCAGTACAGCCAGCTTCTTGCTCAGAAGGTTGTTGGAAGGCACTGACAGCTGCCTTTGGGTTTTGAAGGGAGTCTACTTTTCAACTTAGGGAAAGAAGTAAGAGTCAATGTGATTCACAGCCTGTGAGGTCTTTCCTTATCTTCTGAGCATAGCCTCTCAGACACACATGGAGGTAAACAGCAGGTGCAGGCTAGGGCTCACCAGGGCAATGCTGTCAGGATTCAGGGGTCCTGTCTTCTCCTTAGCATACTTGGCAAGTCAGGACTGCAGCATCACAGAGCAGAGGGAATTTGTCCAGGGTTCCCCTGAATTCACACCAGCCCCTGGAAAGACTGCATGAGGTACCAAGAGAGAACCCAGGTGGGCATCTGGTTAACTGGCAGAGACCCACTTGACCAGGACTGCAGAGGATCATTTTAGCCCGAGACCCACACTGGCTTCATGAAAGAAGGTTCGAATCGTGAGAAACCACTAGGGAGTTTTAAACTAAAGAGACAAGACTCTAATTACCTTTAAACCAGCTCCAGGACGGCTCCTCCTAGCTCCAGCCTCAAGCCACCTAATGCAGTAGTGAGGTTTACTGAAGAGGCTAGTGAGAGAGAGAGAGAGAACACACCAGGGAGTGGACTTTTATTGGGAACAAAAAATTCCGGGGAAAATCCCATCCAATGAAGGTTAAGGGGGGCAGCATCCCAAGGTCGGGGGCAACGATTGGGTCTTCGGGGTAGTGGCCAGACATGCCTCTGCACGGACAAGCCCTTGGACCTGGAGAAGGGTGGGGAAAACTCTGACACAGCTGTGCCTAAGCGCCTCTCGCCCAGCCAGGGAGGTAACAAATCACATGTGAGGATGGCCTCTCACAGGTCATAGCTAGAAATTCCAGAGTTCAGCCCTCTCCTCTCCTAGGAGGAACTCAAGGCTCAATGCACACACAGCTGCCCAGCTCCTGGTGGCCCAGAAGAAAGGCAAATACTCCCCCCTGCCCTGCTCCTCCTGGAGCACTGTTACAGGGAGCATGGCATGAGTAGGGCCACCAATGGCCCATGTGCAGGGATCTTCAAGTTTTTGCACCAAGTCCTGGCTGCTGTACGCCCTGAGCGGGAGTCTCCATTAACACATCCTGATGACAAATTCCTGCCCTGACTTTATTCCACCTCTGAGGAGACTGTATCAGAGACACTGGAGTCACCTTCCACTGTTAGTGCCGTCTGGTATTTCACTCTGGCCCTGAATTTGGGCAGCTTAGGGTGCTTCCTCCCTGACGTAGGTGACCCTGAAGTTAGGATCCAGGTGCTGGAAGTTTCTGGACATGAGGGACTGGTGACATGGAGTCGTTTGTGGGCTGAATCTGTTTTAATCTTGTGCTGGGTTTTCCTACAGCCATGTGTCCAAAACCCCTGCATATTTCTTTGAGAGTCACCACTAATCACTGTGTAACAAAGCTCCTCTAGCACATAGGCCATTCAGGAGTTCTATACAGGGTGTATGCATGTGTGCATGCCTGTGCTCACATGCTGGTGTGTTCTTGTGTGCACTCACGTGTGTGTTCTGCCCTGTTTTGGCATGCTAGCTCCTGACTGCTTTGGCTAGGATTCCAGTGATTCATGCACACCTACAAATAGCTTTCTACTCTTAGCTGCAGGAAGACCAGTGCCTGCTTTTTAGGTCTAGATGGTCCCTGGTAGCTCAGAACATACTTATGAGGGCTTGGATGGGTCTTGTGAGAAAGGCAGTGGCCTGTAGCCCTGGCTGGTTTCAGGGACACAGCATAGTGAGGCTGACATTCACAAGGTGGACAGCTGCAGCACTTAGTCCTCTGTACACTCACAACTCCAATTCTAGGGTACTTATCTGATTTTTTTAATATATATATTTTTAGATGTTGATGGACCTTCATTTTATTCATTCATTTATATATATATTATTCATTCATTTATATCTTGAACCCAGTACCCCACACATGCCAGGCAAGCACTCCACCACTGAGCCACAACCCCAACCCTTATCTGATTTTTTGTATGTTTTGTTTTTATGGTTCCATTAGCTCATTTTTAATATTCAGATTTTCTAAATATAAATGTAAAGTATATAATGTTATATGAGAGCTTGCATCTAATACTTCACCCTTAGACAGAAAGTTCATTCCTACTGTAACAAATCATGATTCTAATCAGAAAGCCTTTTTTTTTCTGTTTAGAGTAAGTTACAAAACAAGAATAAAGACAATGAATACCATTGTTATTAGTAAGTCACAGGCTTCAAAGCACCTTCCACTGTCTGGAGTCAATGAATTGCTTGAGTCTCTGCACATGGTAAGATAAGAGTCTCACCTGCCCAGACCATAGGCAGAAGCAGGGAAAGAATCGCAGGCTTCCACATGCTCATAGAAGTCAGGCCATACACCTCCAGGGCACTGGGAACACAGTAGTACTTATGCTTAGGAAAGGTAAGCAGTGTACACCGTGGTGCCCTGGGTGTACCTGGGTGCTCTCTGCTACACATCTGTTAGTTCAGGATGAGAGAGGCTGGCTACACCTCTGCTATAAACATAAACACAGATGCTAGAGAACACTACAGAGGAGATAAGAGGCATCATGTGGTTTCATGTTAAATTACAGAGAGCTAATTCCAGAGTTAGTCTGTGGCACCCTCCAAGGGGTCTCCCTTGCCTCTGCAGGATGACACTTGATAGAAACACCTTCCTTGTAAATTGTTGGTGTTGAGAGATACAACTGGCACTTGCTTTTGCAAATGGATGTTGTGAGGTAATGGTGACCTCAAACCAAGAGGTCTGGGAATTCAAAGGAGGGTGCCTTTCAGGTAGGAGCAGCTTTAAAAATCTCTATTAAAAAATTAGGTGCTGGTTGTCGGTATATATTTTTTTTCTCCTCAAGGTCCACTTGGTACAACTCCAGACGTCACAGAGAATCTGTAAAATGTTGGAAAGCTTTCAAGATTACTAATTCGCAGATGAGCAAACTGAGGCCTTGTGAGGGCCATGACCTTTACAGTTACTGGCCAATGAGAGGCAGAAACTCCCACCCACACTTGCTGGCCCTCATCTTGTGCACTGAATGTCACAGAGTCCCCTCCCTGGTCTTCTTCTGAAGGAGCCACCTCAGTAGCTACCATGTAGAACTGGTTCTGTAAATGCAGTTTTAAAACCAAACTATGTATCTTTAATGTTCAGAGCAAAACTTTGCAATTGTCACAAGGAAACATAAGTGTAGTTGTCTTAAAACAGATACAGGCAATATTTACAGGTAGCCAGCTTCTGGCAGACATGAAGCTCCAAGCCTGTAGACTCTCCTGGAGCCAGCATAGTGCTGCTTATATACTTCCTCTGCATCTGGGAGCAGACTCCTCCCTTTTGAGTTAGATGCTGACTCTGCCTCTGACAAGGGCTCACCTCCCCTGTGCTCTGTGCCATCTCTCTTTCCCAAGACACGGCACCCCAGGCATCTAGTTCTTAGCACTGCAGCCTCCTCTGGTTTGCACTGTGTCCCAGAACCTGTCTGAGCCTCCTTTATCTCCAAAGAGCCATGCCAACATCACACATCTCTTCTCATTAGTGGATTCTGTTGTGGTCTGAAGAAGTATCCCCTCCAAAACCCATGAGAAACTTAATAGTAGCTGTGACAGTATTAAGGGGTGGGACCTCTTAGGTTGTAAGGGCTTCTCCCTCACGAGTGAGCTGGGGCCACTTTGAGATTGAGTTCAGAAGAGAAGAGGAGCTGCTCTTGAACCAGGTACCCTAAGGTGACATGCTGCTCCAAGGCATAGGACAACACTCAAGACACCTCTGCTCCTTCCTCCCACAGCCCTGCTGGGCATGGGTGGTCTCTGGCTGTCATTCTTGGCACAGAAGTCCACTGTAGTTGCAGAACCCCTCCAGTGCAGTGAGTGTCCTGTGGAACCAGGATGTGGGTGCTAACCTTGAGCCAGCCTGCTCAAGTCCAGCAGCTATTACCATGTAGGGGAGTCTGATTGTCCAATTTGATTGTGCTGTGTTTGAGGTGTTAAAATGCATGATCCTTAGGAAGAAAGCAAATGTTCTACAGATTTAGAAAGTTCTCTTTCTTCAGTTTTGCATTTGCATTTCAAATGCATTTCAAATACATGTATTTGCTTTATCATGACATTTTAAGGTGATCTGAAGGAATATCAAAAATATAATTCTGCAAACTACTCT